TAAACTCTCTTGGGAGCATTATACTCCCTTGGGAATAATCGACTACTTCTGTTTTAATTTTGATGTCATAGAAACTGATTTCTACTCCCGACCGTGGAAAAAACTAAATTTGATAACGTTTTTGCTTTATTTTAATTGATTTGGGTTTTCTAACATTCAATCGTCATTTACTCGAAAACTTTCCTATGTGAGATGGCAACATTTTAATACTGTCGGATCGACAATGAAACGATCTTTCAGAATCAAGAAAAAAAAATAGGGGGTTGCTATGTAAAAAAAATGTCGATGGCGTCATTACTCGAAAACAAATGACGGTTGAAAATCGCCTTTTTAAATTAAAAATCGACCTGTTCGAGGATTTTTCCCAAAAAAAATTTGTTTCATTTTTACTGAATTTATTCCATACTTTAGGCGCGTACTGTATTTACAAATTTACATTAAATTCTAGGTGGAAAGATAATGAAATACCTAAGTACTTACCCCGGAATTGTTCCACATATGACTTGAATCCCCACGATATTAACAACTGCTCAAGGGTCATTTTCATTTCCATTATTTCTGGTACTGGTATTATACACATATACTATAGGATTTCTTTATTCATACGTTGATTGATCTATTGGTAAATGGCCTGATTCACTGTGCCAACCTATACGCATGATCTACAGTCACTACTTTTAACACAATTTATTGTAAACAAAACTATAATTGTGTGTCTTTAATTACCACAAACGTTGTATTAATACAATCCATAAATATTGTTATTCAGTATTTCAAATTTTACAATATATCATTTAATACAAAATATAGTAAATATAATATACCCAATTACTACAATACTTTGTACTCTAAATAACTATTATTAGCTACAAGTAAACTTTACAGTATTAAACCACACTCCATGGTTACGCCAGTTTACCGCACTATAACTTCTTCGGTGGGTGTACGTTCGGCATGTTTAGTTAAATTAGTTTTCTCTGAGCGTCGCGATTTTCTATTAACCCCGTACAACACCCCCGCGCCGCCCCGCCCACCGGATGGATAATCGAGCGCGTCGGCTACATTGTTTACAGCGGCTAATGCAATTACGGGGTTATCGAAGTCTGTCCGCGATCTGTTCGCAGTTTTCGCCCAGGTGATGCGTCGCCATGGCGACCCACCCAGGCGCTGCAGCCGTGAGAGGCCTGCAATATGACGTTTTAAAATCCACTATCGGCGTCTTCCCCGCCATAAATTCCCATATAAACTTTCACGGATTTATGCGGAAACAAAATCCTGGCCGTCAGGGGCGCCGTTTAGAGCGGGGCGAGGGGACGGTTGCCCCTCTTAGAAGTTCGGTAATAGTTCACTAGAAGCACAATAGTAAATACAGGGTGATTCACAAACGGTGAGCAAAAATGAAACCTCGTATTCTTTGGTGAATTTTAAGGGGAGTATTTTCTATAAAGCTTTTATCTAGGACGCTTCTTTAAAAAGATACAGGGTGTTAAACTTAAAATATTTGAAACGAATACACTGAAGATGAATTTTTCGAGACAAAACGTCTGAATCTGGTTCTGGCTTAAGCGTACAGTATTGGGGATCATGAAGGCTTGGAAAAAATGTAATAAAATTTCTAGGGTCGTATTTAAAAAAATTAAGTTGATGATGGTCCTGGAGAGACGAAACATTACATATAAAAATTTATTGTGCCATTCTATAGAGGGCAAGAAGTGGCCATGAGAAAGTCTTCTTTTTTTTCAATATCACCTAAAACAAGGCTGAAATGAAACAAAAACGGATTTCCAAAATTTCGGTTTTTTTAAATATTCCGAAAACTAATCATGTTAGCCTTGATTTTTTAGAGGCGGCTCGTTAGGTGACACAAGACACAAGTGACGCACCGCTTCACCTAAAATTTCTATTTGGTTGTGCAATTTGAAATTATTTTAAATTTTATAAAAATTTTATAATTTAGGTACAATTCTATATTGAAAATGTATTGTGTTTGTTTAATACGCAAAAATAAACAGAACGCCTTCTAAAAAAAACTTTGCATTCGTTGAGCGCGAACATCAACCTCAGACCATACAACATAGGTAGTAGTGACGCAGATTAAAATCAGCCTGTATTCTGCTTCTCTTCGTAGCGTTGTTTACGGCGGTTGTCATGGCAACGAGGCGGCCAATACGTGATTAAACTACGGCGTGGCGGAACGAGTGACGCAGAAATTGAAGGAGCGTCGCCCATCGCCTACCTTTAAAGGTGGGTACAAACTAGAAAGCACATGCGAAGAGTCAAAGCGAGACCACAGGCATATGCGTGCGTTCTCGCTCTTCAATGATTATGGTGAAACTTTTCCTCAAACGCATGCGATGTTTCTCACTGTGCTCCATTCATTCGTCCTAAAGATGTCTTCAGATGAAGTAGTTGTTATAACGCAAGCTGCCTTTTTTGTTATAAACGAATTAATTATAAACTTAACATTTTTTGTCGTACAGTTTTCATGTCCATTCCCATTTTCTCTGCTATAGCGTCCCAGGCCTCGGATTTTTTAGTTTTTGAATAATAAGACGGGTGTTTAGGATCCCATAACAAACGGTATTCTTCATAATAATCTATTAATTGCAAACATTGCTCATTTGACCATTCCTGTGATTCAGACATACTGCACACACGCAATAACGACTCACCTCAGTCGAACGTAAATGTATACTAGTGTCCTAGTGTCGTCCACACTGAGAACGCATGCGTGAACTTGCGACGCATAATTCCCTTTGAGCGGTGCTCAAAAACCGACAGATTTCGGCTCGCTTCATTCTCGTTCGCAACCTTTCGCGAGCAGCCACGTATGCGTTGAGAAATATGCATGCGTTCTCGCTTTGACTCGCCGCATATGCTTTCTAGTTTGTACCCACCTTAACAGTTTATACGATACGCGTCGCTCAGTGAACGATTATATCGGTTCATAGTTAATATTTGTTTTGTATAATAATTGCAGAAATACTTCCTATGTATGATCCAGTGTGTATTTTATTGGAAACGCCATTTTCCAGATGGAAAATTGAAGACAAAAAGGATTTTTTAAATTGCTAGAGACCTGTGCCTTATTCTCTCGATATCTTCTTTTTAGTCAATCAAGGAATATACTTCACCTATTCTCAATGTCACGAGCTGCCACTGCCCGATAAAAATGTATTTAACAGAGTTTTCAACAAACTGTGCGATACCGTAACCGGACACGTTTTTTGGGGTGGCTCACTCAAATACTTAGTCCTTGAAAGAGATGCGTGTGCTGATACTTTAAATTCGCACCCCGTTGGAATCCGTGTTAACGGCGCCCAAGGCGGTCGCCGTCTATCCGCGTGACGTTTGTTTAGATTTATCATCCGACGAAACGCCGCATATCGGCGCTGCCGCGCTCGCGCCCGCCTCATTTTTCACCGCTGCAATTTTTATCTACTGTAGAATATTTCATTCATTAATTTTCATATGTATAACTGGCGACAGGTATTGATCATTTTAATGGGGGCTCTGCGGCGCGCACTATTTGTATTTATGGCGGCCGGGCGTCGTTTACCGCGTTCGTCCATTTATCCTTTTGGCGCATTTCCGATTTTATTAAATCGCGACGGAAAACCGAAAAGTCATAAAACCAAATAAATTAAGAGAAATATTAATAAAAACAAATATGTCATGGTGCTTTTTAAATGCTAAACTACTATTGATTTTTGTCTTTGTTCCCCTGAACACGAATCAAATTATATATATTTTTTAATCAAATAAATAGTTATAATTAGTTTTGCACTTTAATTCTTGTGTACGCCACTGAGCGGTGTAAATTTATGTGTGAGTGCACTATCAACTGGGCCAATTGTTTTTAAATCAATCTACATTGTGGACTGTGACAATGACAATAATTTAGTAACTCAGATTTGTGTAACTTAGCAAGGTGTTACTTTAAAGTCACCATATTTTATTGATATCACTGTGGTCGAAGCGCCGAACATTAAAAACAAAATATTATATCGTTTCTGAAGAAAACAAAAATTTTTACATGATTTGTTTAATATTAACTAATACTGGTACAGAGATACGTAACTAATTGTAAATATTTTTTATATCAACTGTTAGACAATGCACCGGCCCCTTTTTATCTCCCGATGCTGTCGTGGTTGGGATGGGAATCGGTCGTGGGTTTATCTTGAAATGAGGCTTCGTTTTAGGATTTATTTATTTTATGTTGCACATAAACTACAACGCTTTTAACCACTGGTACAGGGACCAAATAGACAAAACTTCTCACTAAAATATTACTAATAATACTCAACAATTTTAACACTCTAACCTATTCGCTAACAGTTTTCGCCATCTTCTTTTTTATTTCTTCTTCTTCTACGTTCACTATGTCCCTGTTATGGCATGTTACAACAACAAAACTAATTAAAAATTATTTTGTGAAAACAGTGTTCCATTTAATATTACAACGACTTGTTATTTCAAAGTCATCATATATTTTTTCTAACGTCGAACACTAAAAAACTACTGTTCTGTTGCGGTATGCCTTTGAAGGCGTGGAAGAGGTGACTGTCATCGCACCTGATTAAAACAGGAATGGCCGACAACTGCACTGTTTCCTTTGGTTACATATCCGTTTAATCTTCCACTTTATCGATTTGTAGGTTGTATATAAAGTGCCTTTATGTGGTGTAAGTGTATAAAGTTATTTATTTCAGTGTTGTGGCGATACAGTGAAATTTTGTGTTATAATTTTAAGTTTTTCTGCATTACGAAAAAGCGTGTATACGAATCAAAAAAGAGCTGGTATAGTCAGAGCCTACTTTTTGTCAGTAGCAAAGAAAATGATATCAGATAGATTACGCCAACTTACAAGTACCGGATAAGAAAATGTCAGTCAGATTGCTTCAACATTTAAGAGGCTAAGGGACCTTTGAACCAGAAAAAGATACTGGTACCAGTACTCGAAGATTTAGAACAAAATCTTAAGTATTGTTATAAAAATGAAGTGAGTAAACAGATTATTTATTTTTGTGCATTTAATTTATCGTTATTGATTACTGCTTGAGTTTGCTGCTAGGTTACATGTTAAATACTGTTTCATAGTTTCAAACATTAGTTTTTGTGGGATGGTAGAGCTTGTGGTGAATACCCACTCAACAAAAGTAACGTGCCAAACCTCATGGCGAGTGGTGTGGAAATTTGCTTTTTTTTCTTTCCTTCCTTCTCCTTAAAAAGTTACATTAACAAACATTATACAAAAATGTATCCTATTCTATTGGAATTAGTCTTGATTTAATCAACATTGCCATGAAAACAATGGCTGAAACTGCTGTCACAAGTCTGTTTACATATTAGTTTCTGTCAAACGCTATTTCTTGCATGATAAACAAACTAGTGTGGTTGTTAAAAATTAAAAAATTTTCACGAACAATGAGAAAGTTGACATGATTTTAATTTATGGTGAATGTCAAAAAAATGCCAGAAGAGCAACTTATATCATGAGAGATGTCCAGAGCTGCAAATAAAACAAAACGTCATTTTTACTCCAACAAAGTAGTTAAAAACTCTTAACAATGTGCCAAAAACCCGTCTCGTTTAATGCGTTTGCCTCAAATGTACTTTTCATGTAAAATGAATATAACTACGCGTTTCACCACTGTGTTTGCTCCTAGTTTCGAGTCCTGAGCAAACACTGAACCGTAGCAATGAAAACAGTCATTTTCCCTCTGTTTTGCACGGGCAAATCCCCGAAGAAATGCGGGTAACATTTGTCTAGGTGTCCGCTGTCGACGTAAAAACGATTGCCTAGGAGAAAGCGACCCCTCCCGGAGACGTCGGGGTGACATATCTAACTCGATTTAATACCGGGGCCCCATAAAACGTCAACGCAAACGTTTCTGCGGTGAATTAATAAAAATTTTGTTTACTTTTTCAAATTCTACCACTCGAAACTTTTTAACTTATATGGCAATGAATGTGTTGTAAACGGCTCAAAACATTTTTTTAAATCTTCTTGAAGGTTGTTTGGATATAATCAAACATTTTTGTACAGGGTCAGTCACTATAATCTGACAACTTATTGTGAGTTTATTATTGAAATTAGAAAAAAGTTTTTAATACAAAAGTTTTAGCTTTTTTTATGAATTTTTGTAATATAGTATTAAAAAAACCAATTGAATAATGGAATTCACTAAGTTAAAGAATTGTTTTTTAATGGAACACCCTATATACTAGTGCATACTTAGCTTCGTTAAATTTTTCTCTTTTCAAAAATATATAATATGTTACTGTTTGATTCAGGACTTTTCGACATATTTCAGTTTAAATCTATTTTTGAAAAAAACAGGAGGGAAATTTATGTCTGACGGATAGCAGTGGCTATGGACGAGGCACGTGGACCAAACAAATGACTTTGACAGAAGTTTATTTATCATCATTAATTTATTTCCTATAACAAACTATTTTAACAAAGAAATAATGTTATCCGTTTATTTTGTGATAATAATAAAAATCATTCTTCAAAATACACTTCTGCACGGCACTGGAAACTGGTCCACTGTAAAACCTGACCTCGCACAATGCGACCGGTATGGCGGCGTGATAAAAACGGACAAAAACTTTCGCAAGGAAAGAAATATGTAAATAGAATTTTATCGCACCTATTTTATATCGGCAAATTCAAATGCTTTTGCCTTTATTAATTATTAATAAAATTAATTTGTGTTTTTAAATAATAAAATCATTTGACTTGCCCGATGCTGCAACAGCAATTGTTCAAAATTTTATCCACTCACGTGTAAACACATTTGGGTCCGTTTTACTCACTTTCTACGAACTAACACAAATGATGTCTTGCTTCACCATAACACAAATACTTCACCATAATACAAATGTTGTCTTGCTTCACCATAAATTAAAACGATATCCATCAACTCTGAGTTGCTATACACGCAAGCCATTTTTGACACTAACTACTAAAAAACTGATGTAAATACCACAGATAACAGGTAAATACTACCGGAACGACGGATTTCAGTATTAGGAGTCACATGGCTCTCCACGCGTATTGCGAATGACGCTAGAGACTACAGTTGTCCCACTATGTAGTAGTTGAATGTACTGTAACTTCAGTATTTTTTTTCTCGGAAACTATAAGGATTTTACAAAATTTTTTTTTACAATATTGACTCCATTTCTCATGTCGCATCTATTCCCAAATTTTTTTGGATAAGTTGTGAATCGCCCTGTATAGGATGGCCCATTTAAAAAAATAATAATTTAGTGTTTCCATTATTCAATTGTTTTTTCTGATACTGTATTATAAAAACTCATAAAATTTTTGTATTAAAAACTTTTTTGTAATTTCAATAATAAACTCACAATAAATTGTCAGATTATAGTGACTAACCCTCTACAAATATATTCTTAGATTTTGAAAAGTAAAAAAATATTTTGATGCAAGGTGTGCACACCTTATAGACCTTATCGGATAAAAAACAGCCTGTGTCGAGCTGTAGGGCTGGCAACAACGTGCGGGAATCAATCGCACCCCGTCGCTTAATTCTTCGCCCAAGTAATCTCGCCATGAAGTCGTATTGGACTTTGAAGTTTTACACTTAAAGTTCGGCACAAGGGCTGACTCCGAATGTGTTTTAAATTTGTTTACCCAGACTGATGCTATTACTTTTTTCACTCCTCGCCGAATCACATTCAATTAGACAAATTACTTCCCGGAAGCGTACCTGCGAACGAAACAGAGGATTTTTTTATTCCGCGCGAAGAAATCCAAAAGTACTTTAAGTGAGTTTACCGGAAGGGTGCGAGTACGGATTGGAGGGACTAATGAGACGACGATTTAATTTATTTAACGATAAAAAGTGTAGTGTAGGTGAGATAAATCGAAAGTCTTTATTAAACATCGCGCACACTACTTTTCCTGGGCGACGACCTGATGCGGAAAGACACGTACACACTTCCCAATCTTAGAAATACAGTTTAGATTGATTTTTAGTAAGTCAACTGACAAATTATAATTCTTTCAAATAATAAAAATTACATAGGCCGACAAAATTGTAACTCAACAACACGAATAAACTTTTCCAAAGGATTTTGTTGCGCTGAATTCGAATCCAAGTTCCAAATTTCTCAGTTGGTTCTGGTTTTCGAGATATCCTAACTAAAAGTGCCAAAATCGCGATTTTTGACATATTTGAGGTTATGTTACATGGGAAGGTAAATTTTTTTGCTGAAACAATTAATGGGGTGTTAAAGTACTATACTTCTTCTTTGGACCTCGGAAAAGTACATTTTGGTATCTGGGTTAAAAGATAGGTCAAATTTTGTCAGCCTGTGTTATACAGTGTGTATCGTTTTTCAGGTTAACACCTCTGAAAATGTGAGAAGGCTGTGGACTTTACGCAAGCCAATTTTTTTTACAAATAGTACCCTGAAGGGAGGTTATATTCTACTAATCATTTTATTGATGAAACCAAAGCAAAAACGCATTTTTAAAGGGGTCGTTTTTCCAGAAAGTGGTATTAGGCATTTTTTTATTTACTAGGCAACACTTATTAAAATATCCATATACCAAATTTGAACGACAAATGTCTATTGAGTGTATTTTATGTTATGTCAAACTTCGAAACTACTACGACAACTAAAAATTATAATAAGCAGGTCAAAGATTGCCATGAAAGTGAAAACAAGTGCCAGTCGGGCAAAGAAAGAATACATACACTATAAATTTAACACTTTTAATTGCGGCCACAATAAAAATAATAATTAACCTACAAAAAATTTAGGTAATGAATTATAAAAATATTAAGTTGTTAAACAAAAAATTGCAAAACAATCTAAATTAAATTTTAGTTTTCTCGAAATATGGACTTTTACTTTTGGGGTTTTATAAAACAAAAAGTTTATAAAAACAGATCAAGGAATTTGGATAACCTAATAATTGTGTAGGACAAGCTTGTGCAGAGATTACTCTACAACATCTATGTAAATTATTTTTAAATTTAAGAAGAAGATTGGAAAAATGTGTTCGACTGGAAGGGGGTTTGGTGGAGAAAACTAAAACTTAATTTAGATTAACGTTTTGCATTTTTTTTGTTTAACAACTTAGTATTTATAATTCATTACATTTTTTATAAGTTATTATATTTATAATTAATTAATAATAATTAATATAATTAAAAGTTTTAAATTTATAGTACCTGTATTTTTTCTTTGTCCGATTGGTACTTGTTTTCACTTTCATGACAATCTTTGACCTGCTTATTATAATTTGAAGTTGTCTGATTTTTCGAAGTTTGTCACCACATAAAAAAACACTCCATAGACATTTGTCGTTGAAATTTGGTATATGGGTATTTTGGTGGGTGTTGAATAGCCTGGTCAAATTATCTTTTTGATAAAAAAATGCCTATTTCGGAGAAAGTACCCTTTTAAGAAATCGTAGTAGGCCAGGCTTTTGCCACATCAATAAAATGATTTGTACAATATAACCTCCCATCAGGGTACTATGCGGAAATTCCACAGCATTATCACATTTCCAGAGGTGTTAACCTGAAAAGCGGGACACACTGTATATAGTCTTATCCACCGTGTTATTTCTAGATTGCTGATGTAAAACTAACATATATTTTCGATCTATTTGAATAACAGTAAACGCGTTCCAAAAATTCACACATGTGCGACTTACTCGTGAATGAAAAATTTGTTTCATAGAATTATCTATTTGCTTTACTCACATTCCTAGAATGTATATCACCGTTGTAAATGAACTAGGATTTGCAAAAATGAATTAGTTTCTACTCTAAATTTTTAATTAATCCGGTTTCACGTATGTTATTTTTATTAAGGATGAAATGAGTACCGTAGAAAATTCTGCATCAAAAACATTTCAAATTTAAATTAGGCCATTAAAATTAATTAGTTTAATACATGACCTTGTTGAAAAAAATTCATCGCAAATAGTCGTAACTGATGTGAAATTTAAAGTTA